AATGTTTTTGCAGAATAGATGCATCATAATAGCCCAATCCTTGGAGCACTTTCTCAAAAAGCTGTACTATAGGCATACTTGGCTTTATTTATGTTTATTTGTTTTTCTCAAAAAGCTGTACTATAGGCATACTTGGCTTTATTTATGTTTGTTTGTTTTAGCCCTCACACTTTTTTTCCAATATAGCATCAGCTTATTTTATTTTTCATTGTGTTCCTTTCTGATAGCAAGAAATATTCAGATAATTGTTTGATTGTTGACAATGATATACAAATGTAAAACTACAGTAAAATATAAGTGAAACAAATCTGTATTTAGCCAAGATATTTTTCCCCACTAACAAATATGTCATCAGTTAAGATCTTAACTGATGGAAATGTTTTCTCAGTCATGCAAATCCTCAGCATTCTGCTGATATCTATTGTTAAGTCCTTGTATGGAATTTTCATCATACAGGCCTCTTCTGCTGCTGTGCTTGAAATCAATTACCTTAAATTCCACTAAGGTTTTTGAAATGATAGCAATTTTAGCATACTTTTATTACATCAATGGCAGTAGTACATTGTGACTAGCTTTAGCAAAGAATGCTAGTGCTAAGAGCATGGCTTCTTGGTAGGCAGTATAACAAAAGCAGAACAGTATTTCTAGAAGATCTATTGTATCATCAATTCTCAAACTTAATCTAGGGTGGGCAACTGCATAACCTTTTGAGGATTAAACAAATGAATGGGGAATCCCACCACTCACAAACATAATCATTTGTAGAATTGCTGAGGACAGAAGAAGTTTTATCCTCTCCATAACATACATGCATATGCACATACTATCTCTCCCTGCTACTACCATGTACAGCGTATGCACAATTCATCATAGGATCAACAAAAGGCTTTAGCAGTTCTGCTCTAGACTGTTGTGTCTCAACTCAGCCATGAACAAGGTCACTGGGCCAGGGGCTGATCTTCTTCACTTCCACCAGCCTGTTCTTGCTTCCCAGATACAAGGTGTGAGCTGAGGAGTGGGAGACAATGGGTAGGTGTTTCAGAAATGTGAAGGATGGAAGAGGGGAGGGGAGGAGAGGAGAGTATTGGGGATGGGAATTGGACAGGAAGATATTTGGGTTGGATATTTGAGTAAACAAACCAAAGAGGTTTTTTTTGGGGGGGGGGTTAATAATTTTATTACAGCTTTTGATAAACATAGTAAAAACTAATACAAATGAAAAGAAAAAGAAAATTCAGAAAGTGTAGGAAAAAGAATAAGAAAAAAAGTAGAAGAGAAAAAAAGACAACAAAGACAGTAAAGAAGTGACTTCCAACTTTCACCACACCAAGCATAAGCGAATATACTAACTTTTCACCCTCATTTAAAGTTACAAATAAAAAACCTCTTCTCCCCATAGCCTAACTTTTATCTATATGCATTCCAGAAATCTTCACCTTTTCAATCCTAGTTCAACAAAAAGTCCATTAGAAGTTGCCAGAGATATCAAACAAATAGATTATCCCTGACCAAATAGTCCAACATTATATTCCTTCTTTTTACTCTGTACAGTCTTGACCTTTAAATCCGCCCTATGGCATCACAGGCATCTTTCATCACACTTTAATATTTAAAAGAAGTCTTCAAAGCTTTTACCAGCCTACTTTGTAAATCCTGTAAAGAGGCATCACCCAGGATTTCTTGTCATAGCTGTTTCATATCCAGATCCTTTTCTTGAATTACCTTTTGTATTCCAATTTTTGTAATCTCAATTTTGTTATCTTCCATGCCTTCAAACTCTATAATATCTATGTCAAGTAAAGGTTTTTGAAGATTTTTCTCATCATCTTCTAAAAGTTTGTCCATTGAAATCTTTCTGAGATATTGGTTATTAATATTTAAACCCATGTAAAAAACTCTTTAATATAAGAAAAAGTTATAGCTGGCTTGGCCATTTTAACTCTTTTCTGCCTGTTCCTTTGGTTCCCTCTAGTGTCCATTTGCAGCCTTCATCAAGCCTCAATTCCTAATATGGATTCAGTTCCATTTCAGTAGTTTCCCATGAATATATTATTTAATTATATACTTGTTTTTCAAATTTTACATCAAAAATAGCCAACATTCCAAATCTCTTTGATCTCCCAATCCATTTAAAACTTTCTTAAATCAAAATCCCCCCCTTTTTTTTTGCCTTTTGCAATTTTATATTATTTTAATTCTTGAGATTCTCTTTAAAATTTCTTAAATCCGAAGAAGAAGGTAGAACTCACCAGGTGTCAAATTGAGCTCACCGTTTTGAAGGTTTCTAATATCCATAAAGTGGTTACATTGAACATTTCCAAAAGTGATTAGAAAGTGAGTTTGGCTGGCTTTGTATCTTTATGAAAGGCTCTGCTGTTAGGAAAGGCTCTGCTCAGACCCACGGGAGACTGCTGTTTTATGGTCTCCTCATGAGGAGCTGCCATTCAGAGCACTTCTGGGCGATCTCCCAATCTCTCCTTCTCCGGAGACATTCGAAGGACCTGTCTACTCACCAGTCTTTCGTTCTACACAGCGGTAGTTATCTCCACTTGTTCGCAGAGACGTCTTCAGTCAGCCATAACTTACACTGGAAGCTGGATATTTAAAAAAATCAAAGGAGTTTGGAGACAAACATATCTGCAGAGTAGAGATTGGAACAGGTCAAGCTCACTTTCCTGGTAGGATTCTCTTAACTACTTGGAAGACCAAATAATAGGAAAAGAAATCTTCTGAAATAACGTTACCTTGAAAAGCAAATCTTCTATATAATGTTACCTTGAAAAGCAAAAAGATATTGCAGTTTTCTCAGATAAACAGAAACATTTTTTCCTGTCCTATCCTGTTTGACAATAATATTGAACACGTGGGAAGTAATCCATTGTCCTAGGCTAGCTGAATGATAGAAAATGGCGTAATGAAAGAAGCTGAAACTGCTCAGATCTTCCTATTATGTTTGTGCTTATAGAAGACAGCTACTATATTCATGAGGAGGATTTAAGACAGAGTGAAATATTTAGTCACCACTTAGGGACCAAGAAGAATTTTGAAAATAAAATATAATTTTCACTTTCAAAATGTATACTTTGTTGTATATCAAGGATTCAATGAGCTATTAAATCCATCAGGTGATTCCTCATCTCCCTCCTAGTTCTCCAGGAAAAAAACTGTGATTATACTTATCTTCAGTTTCCATATGGACAAACTATTTCAATCACATATGCTTTTTCATTTTGTATTTATTTTTCATTTTTTTCATTATTTCATTGTTTATGGTAAAATGTGATCTTTTCAGAATAACTTTGCAGTTCCTATGTTATGTGTTGTTGTTTGCACTTAACTACTGTAAAGTTCTGATATAAAAAGTACAATATTGAAATACCATTTTTTAAAAAATTAAAAGGTAAAGAAGATAAGCATTTTGGTGTAAGAAGGATTGCGTACAATATTACCTATCAGCCTCTTTTTGAGTAGTTTTCTGCTTTAAGACACTTAGAAGCACCAGCTCACACAAACCTGAATAACTGTATTCTAATAATTATTAAATTGTATTCATCTGTTATAAACAGAATATCTTGTTAACAGAAGTTTATTTGATTGAACAAAGATTTGTGTCAGTAGATTCAGACAAGAATCCATTTGGGGCAACTTTCCACTCCCTTCTTCACTCTCTTGGGCTTCCCCCATCTGTTAATGTATAGAGTGGAAAGTAATAAAGGTTGCAAAGAGGAATTGCTGAAAATCATCCCACTTGCCATTCCATTAAAACGAGCCTCTGCTGGGGGGAAAAATCCAAGACTGAAAAAACATTAGATACAAAGATATTATTCTTCAGCTTTAAGTCAGCAATATTAGAAAACAGATGTCGTATTCTGCTTCTGGTTCTTTATAGACCTTACAAGTTTCTCAGGTTTTTTTTTTTTAATGCCAGGCAATAGATTGTATAAGTTTCCTGAATGCAAATGCCATTATTGTATGCTGTATTACAGAAGCAACATGCCATCTCCCTGCAGTGTCCAAGGTGTTGCCATCCTTCAGAGAAAGTCCAACAGGAAGACTGATGAGGCAGGATCCAATAGTTCATCTATCTCCAAATAAGCAGGGCCATGTAAGTTCACCTTCTGATTTTTATTCAAGGTGTCTTAAATAAAGCTCTTGAAAGATAAAAGTGTCTCATACTTTCCCCAAATTATGGTTGCTTTTAGAGTACAGATGTGCAGCCTATTTATAATAATGATCTTATTATTATAAAACTGAATGTACGGTGCATCTCCTACCAATTCAGAGGCAGAATTTTGCTTTGAACTGTAGTATGATAGTTTGAGGATCTACAAAACTTCCTTTCAGAAAAAAACACAAATCATAGCAAATTTTCAGGACTTAACAACATTTGTACAGGAATTAATTCTTATATTACTCTTCAGATCTCTATTAATATATGTAGTCCTCGCTTAACAACCCTAATTGGGACTGGCAACTCCATCGCTAAGCGAAGTGGTCGCTAAGTGAAACATCTGACTGCCCTGCTTAGTGACAGCAGTTTGGAACTCCTGGTTGTGGTCATTAAGCGAATCACCTATGGTCATTAGGCAAGACATCACATGACCATGACTTCCTAGCTCCTGCCAGCTTCCCCGTTCACTTTGCTTGTTGAAGCTGGCTGGGAAGGTTGCAAATGGTGATCATGTGACTGTGGGACGCTGCAACCATCGTAAATGCGCGACAGTTGCCAAGCGCCCAAATTGTAATCCTGTGACCATGGGGATGCTGCAACGGTTGTAAGTACGAGGACTGGTTGTAAGTCACTTTTTCCAGCTCCATCATAACTCCAGTCGCTAAACGAATGGTCATTAAGCAAGGACTACCTGTACCCCTATATGGTTACTATCTTTTCCTTTCCTGGCATTTAAATTCAAACATTTCTACTTACACAGGCTGCATCCCAAATCCCTTATTTATTTTAAGTCTAGTCACATTATCTTTTAACAATGCACAGATAATGAACCACTGACAGATTCCTAAAGGAGAAGGAACAGGTCTGAAAACTCTTCCCAAACTATTAAAATCTTGAAAAGCTGCTAATGTTTTTTTTTACGACTATGTACATTTTTATATATTGAATATGTCCTTCAATATATCTTGTATTCTTAAATATTTTGTATTTGCCATTACATATGGTTAAATCCTTAGCTGCTGCCAGTATAATTAGTGGATTAATCATTTACTTTAGCTGACATACTATCTGTAGTAGTATATTGTTGATTTGGATATAAGCTAAAGGAATCCCACACTGCTAAAAAAAACAGTAGCTTCAAAGCAGTTCTCTCCAGCCTGGTAACCTCAAGATGTAATGGGACTGTTAATTCCTGAAATTTCCAGACTGGCCAGGAATTCTGTGACTTGAAATCCCAGGACTTCCGGAGAGTAGAGAAGACTGCTTTAGAGTTATTACAGCTCCTTAAGCTATAGGGAAACATGTTTCTCTATGCTGATGTTAAAGATCCAAAGTAGATCTTTAGTTCATAGTTTAAGAAATGATACAGTCATGTAACTTGCTTAAAATACCCATGCAATGTTGCCAATTTTCTGTTTCTGTTTGCTTAATACCTCAAAATCTGGATCTGTTCTTAGATGTATTCATTTTACTTAGCTTAGATTTAGCTGTATAAAGGGCCTTTTTTCTATTTAATCAATCATTTTGTACTTTTTAAGCATATTATGAAAAGTGACATATTTAATGAATATATTAAATTTGGTGATAAATTTAAATTAAATACTTTACAGATCTTTCAAAGGAGTCTATCAAGGGATGTTACAGGTTGCTACTTCTCTAGTAGTATACTGAGGGGAATGTTTCTCTTTTTATGTTTGTAGAGAGTTATGAGTACTTTCCATTACTGTATAATTTCAGTAATGAGTAGTTCCTCCCATTTTATGTTATTTCATTCCACAACGTTGAATTTAATTCAGAATCTTGTATGTGTGTCTGTGTGTAGTCCGACAGCCACTACTCCAGCCACTCGAGCAGTAATACACTGTCCAGCAATGCTTCCAGTGTCCATAGTGATGAGAAGTGGTATGACAGTGGAGATAGGACTGAATCAGAGCTGAATAGTTACAACTACCTTCAAGGCACTTCTGCCGATAGTGGCATCGATACCACTTCGTACGGTCCCAGCCATAGTAGTTCAGCCTCTCTGGGCAACTCAGCAACATCTCCCCGATCAGGACTTATAAAAGAAAAAGTGGCATCACTCTGGCACAGTTCCAGTGAAGTGGTCTCCATTGCAGATCGGACTTTAGAAAAAGAGAGCCACATGATGGACAGAAAAACAGAATCTTCATTGAGCTTGGACATCCATACCAAAAGTCAACCAGCCTCCAATCCTTTAACAAGAGAGAACAGTGCTTTTAGTCTTAGTGATGCTGTTTCCCATGCAAGGTAATCTTTTTTAAAATTATATATTTGAAGTCTCTTTCTAGATATTTCTAGCAGCTATAAGAAGTGGGTGTTTTGAAAATAACAATACATGTTTCTTAGCTTAGCAGTTTGAAGAAGAGATACTGTGCAGAGAGTTTGAAAATGCAAGTATGTTTGATCTTTCTTTTAGTGGATGGAGACTCTACTCCATCTGTCATAGGAGTTCTTAAAGAATGGAATGTCTACATCATTGCATGAAATTCGTATACTCCACTTTTTGAATGGGTGGCTATAATAAATTTAAATAATAGTAATAAATGCATATACTAAATGTTACATTTGAGTAAGGCCAGGGCATGATAACATGGCAACTCCTGATCCTTGAACCATAGTTTAATTAACTGGGATTTAGGCTAGAAGGTCATATATTCCTCTCACTTTACCGCACAAATTTCCCTCGGGTTCCCCTGATCCTCAAGTTAGAGAGACCCATCTTTTTACCTGAATGAATGAAACCTGTTGAATGCTAATGTTTATGCTGAATTAGATTTGGGCTAGTAAAGGGGCCGTACCTGAAAAATATTTCTCTTATTTGTTTCATAAAAAGCACAGATCATGAATTTTGTAATTCAAGTTTAGTTGTCTCTTATTTGTCAGTGAACTATTTCACTAAGGTATGTGCCTTGGATTCATATGAAGAGTGGAACATGATGCAAAACAAAGTAATTTAGGACAGATTTATCAGGGAAGAAGTATACTGATCGGAACTCTCTTCTGACTGCAGGCCTCTGCACAACATGTTCCCAGGCTAATTCTTTGGAATATGTAGTACTATAAAGAGTGGTTTTGTGGCAGCCATGCCAGAGGGGAAATGTGAAGAAATTTTCAAGTGGGAGATATCCAAGCAAATTTCAGACAGATAAACTGAGATAAATTTGTGCAAAAGGAATTGACGTTCATCAGGAATTATGCTTTTTCCTGAATATGGTGGAGTTAACTGCTGTATGTTGAGGAAGTTTACAAGGGATTCACTCAGTAGTCATTCCTGTAAGAGAATTATGTCACTAGGCTAGGTTAGCCAGCTAACATTGCTTAACATAGACAATGATTCAGGAAAGAAGTTGGACAACAATGAGTTCAAGCAAACAAAGTTAAAGAACTTTCTTAATCACCCAAATATAATCAATAGCTATCTGAATCCAATACTCCCTTTCTCTCCTTTTTTTTAACATGGGCATTTTCTGTGATTTACTTTTTTTTTTTTAATCTGTGGTCTTCTGATTTCTCTAGCTGTGCTGGGGGAAAAAATTAAAAACTAAGCCAGTCACAAATCTTGAGATTCTTGGAACACCTCAAATAAATAATCCGCAGAACAGCTCCGTTTTGTCTCAGAAATTTTGATCTGAGATCAGGATAAACTCTCAACATATTTGGAACATGTGTTTAAAGGTCAGGATATTTTGCACATTCTCAACAGACATTTGTATCTTTCCCATGGTGGACAATAGGAAAATGGAGCTGCTTTTTTATAAAATCTCACTCCAGATTTGAGTTAAATTGGATTATCTCTGGAGTGACAGAGGTACATTAACAACATTCTAAATAATCAATGTTTGTTTGCTATTGTAAGTTTTTGGATCCAAATTACAAATAGTAACATTATATAATAATAATAAATCCTCCTTTGAATCAATTCTGAAAATTTTATGGATGGCTCTTGGCATTAATATGAAAGTGGTTTAGCATTGCCTTCTTCTCATATTTTTAATTTCCCAAGTCTAGCCTACAGCTCTGGGATTTTTGGTGGTCTCCCACCTAAGTACAAAATAAGTGCTGCTTAGCTTTTTGAGATCAACTAGTTGCTACATAATTACTATTATTTAATAATATTGTTGTATTTGGAATACCACACAATAAGTAATCAAAATTTACTTTTCAGATTACTTGTGAATTATTGATTGACTGTTGCTTAATTTTTGTTTGCCTTTCCACATCCCTTAGGTATTTTGTATTTCATTTCCTGCATGTTTTCTACCTTTTATCAAAAACGGTAGGGCAGCTAGGGCTTTGCATAGTGCTACTGGGCTGTGGCTTTGCGCTGGACTATGGGTTCACACCGCACTTCTGGGGTGGCTAGGGCTTTACGCCACACTGTTGGGGCTTCCCGAGATGCTGTGGCTTTGTGCCATGCTGTTGGGCTTCCCGAGGTGCAGCGGCTTTGCACCATGCTGTTGGGGCTTCCAGGACTCTGTGGCTTCGCGCCATGCTGCTGGGGCTTCCCAGGATGCTGCAGCTTTGTGCCACACTGCTGGGCCAGGCTGGGGCAGCTGAGGCTTCCAGGGGCAGCTGCGGCTTCATGCTGCACTGCGGCTCGGGCTTCTTGCAGCCCCAGACCTGCAGCACGCCAAGAAGCCCCTAAGTGGTTCTGGGGCTGCTTGCCGCCCCTCAAGGCAGGGTGCAGGGCAGCCAAAAGGGCAGAGATGGGGGGAATAGGGAGTTGTGGGGACAGTCCCTTACCTTGGAAGAATCAAGGGTCGAGGCTGGGAGGGACCTGTTACACACACTGCTCCCAGGTTTGGCTTATGGTCACTCACTCACACACTCACAGCCTATTGAGGCACGCGGATCTTGTCAACCCCCCTTGCTTTCTACCTGGGTTTTCCAGATAGGTGCGGCTGGAGAAGACAGACACACAGCCCTGGCCAACAGCCGGGAAATAACTAGGGATACACATAAATCACTTCCAACCGAACACTGAGGCACAAGAGGTTCTTTGTAATAC